GTTGTCGGGCACTGCTGTGGGGGGACCTCCGTCCGTCTGCGGCTGGCGCTGCCCCGCTGGGAGGGCTGATGCCCACAGCACAGCAGTGCTGCAGACCAGGGCTGCTGCCATGGTTTTCTCCAGCTTGCACGTGTGCTAGAAGCGCTGTCGCCCGGAGCCCCGCCCCTCCCCAAATGCTTAGCGGGGCTGCTTTCTCCACTGCTCGTGCCTGAGGGCCCGTGGGCGGGGCCGGGGAGGGTGACTGGTCAGACTTGGAGACCTGCCTGCACGCTGGGGGAGGAAGCGCCTGGCTGGGGAGGACGTTCCACGCGGGGAAGCGTGGCAAAGACGCCCAGAGGGGCATGTCTCCGCGCGCCGGTACCCGGGACGTCTGGCACATCCTCGCCCCTGGGCTCTTGGAAAGTGACGCTTCCCGACTCAGGCCAGGGCTGCCCACAGTGGCTGGGGGTGTTTGGGGCCCGATCTTCAGCCAGTGCTGAGCACCCTCCCTTTCAGGGGGCTGCAGCTGGTTCTCCGGTGACTGGTCAGGAGGCCCTGTGCTGCCGGGCCCCCTTCCCCCGGGGTGCGTGACCCTGCTCGGAGGGGGTTGCCCCGAACAGGAGTGTTGCCGCTTGTCCTCTCCAACCGCTGGGTTCCCCATTGGCTTGTTTGTGTGAACAGCTGCCAACGTGCTGCTTTCCGAGCAAGGGGACGTGAAGCTGGCTGACTTCGGAGTGGCTGGGCAGCTGACGGACACCCAGATCAAGAGGAACACGTTCGTGGGGACTCCTTTCTGGATGGCCCCAGAGGTCATCAAGCAGTCGGCCTATGACTTTAAGGTGAGTGGGTGGGCCGCAGAGGGACCCTCACATGTTCGTGCGGTGTCGCTCAGCTCAGAGCTTGTGCTCGTGTCAGCGCTCAGGGGAACTGGAAGGGGGGCCTCGAGAGAGGGGTCTGTGGGGCAAGCCTGGGACTGCATGCGCGAAATCCCCCCTCGAACCCTGGTGAGGCCAGTCCCTTCTGCCAGCCGAGAGCGTAGCGCGGCGCTTCTCGCCCCTGCAGACGCCCTCCTTGCTCTCTTGCAGGCGGACATCTGGTCTCTTGGGATCACAGCCATAGAACTTGCAAAGGGAGAGCCCCCGAATTCAGACTTGCACCCTATGAGGGTGCTCTTCCTGATCCCCAAGAACAGCCCGCCGACTCTGGAGGGCCAGCACAGCAAGCCCTTCAAAGAGTTTGTAGAAGCCTGCCTCAACAAGGACCCTCGCTTTGTAAGTAGCGTGTCCTTCCCCTCGCTGCACGGGGCCCTGAGCTCCCGCCACAGCGGAAAGGCCGGTTAGGGCTCCGCGCCTGGGGGTTAGCAGCCGCTGCAGCAGGACTGGGAGCACGGGGCTTGGTGA